AAGACTCTGGGGAAATGCCTAGTCATACTGATAGGCCTGTGCAAATAGGGAAGTATTCGATTTGGATTCGGCTGATTCGGAGAACAGTGATTCAAATCACTGTCCCCATTCGATTCAGATGAATCAGAATTGGAGATTCAGCACTAAGTCAGAAATTTGGATCGGCCAGGGAGTGGCAGGCACAGCTGGGCAGCTGCAGGTTCTCCCATGGCTCCTCTGGCTGTGCCTGCCTCTCCCCAGGCTGGGGGAGCCGCAGGAGAAGCCCCACCCAGCCCCAGCATCCCATCAATTAAAAAAAAAAAAGCCCCGCACTCACTGGCTGCAGTAGCAGGGATCAGGGTCTCTGAGAGCATGGAGAAGTGGGGGACAGCAGGGATCACCCTGCCTGCCTGGCACCTGTGCGGCAGCTGCCCCATGGCACGGGTGCAGCATGGGGTGGCAGGGTGCCGCGTGCTGCCTGGGAGCTGGGGCCACCGGGGCTGAACGTTGCCGGGGCCACTCCAGCTTCCAGACAGCGAGTGGTGCCCTGCCGAGCCATGTTACACCTACGCCATGGGGCAGCAGCCGCGTGGGTGCCAGGTGGGCAGAGGGGTTTCCCACTGCCCCATGCTCTCAGAGACCCTGATCCCCACTGCTGTATCCAGCGAGTGCAGAGCTTTTTTTTTACATTTTTTTTTAATTGCCGGGATGCTGGGATGGAGATGGGGAGCGGGGGCTGTGCAGGGGGGCTCTGCTACGAGGCCCCAGAGCCCCAACAGCCACTGCTACTGCCAGTGAGTGCGGTTTTTGGGTTTTTTTATTCCTGGACTGCTGGAGTGGGGCAGGGGGGCCACCAGGGATGGGGACGGGTGGAAGGGGGCATTTGGGGAGCAGGGTGTGCACAGGGTGGCTCTGCTAGGAGGCCCCACAGCCCCTGCTGCAACCAGTGAGTGCGGGGCTTTTTTGCTTTTTTTTTTTTTTTAAATAAAGTGCCGGGTGGCTGGTGCTGGGCAGGGGATGGGGCCAGGCAGGGAAGCCATGGGGGCTTCTCCTGTAGCTCCCCCCACCCGGAGAGAGGCAGGCACAGCTGGAGGAGCCACGAGAAAACCTGCAGATGCCCGGCTGTGCCTGCCTCTCCCCGGCCCATCTGAATCTCCTAATCTTTTCCAAATCGATTTGGAGGCTTAGGATTCAATTCGGACCTTTTAATGGGTCTCCAATTCGATTTGGATTTGGAGATTCAGCCACCGAATCCCTGAATCAAATTAGCAACTGAAGTTTTGCACAGCCCTAATACTGACCAAGAATACCAGTGTAATTCTGCTCAGTCAGCAGGGGATTCAAGAGGAAGACTGTCTCTGGAGGAATTAGTAGTGCTTCAAGTGAGGCTCCTGCTGCTGTCCCCTCACCATTTCCCAGCCCTCATTACTACTTTGGGCATGATGGGAGAGATAAGTAAAGCTGAAGTAGGAACAAAAGTAACCAATGCAAAAAGTGTAGAATATACTGAAGGCAAAGTCAGAAAAAAAGAGAAGTCTGATTGAGTCTGGAGGAATTAGCATGGGCTGCAAGGCTGGGGGCAGACCTTCCCACTGTCTCTTATGTCCACTTATTTCCAGCACAGCTATAAAGCCTGAATTTTTTACTTGTATGACAGCCTGGTATCCTAGTTTCATGGGCAATAAAGCATACTTCAAATGTAGGGGCCTATTTAATTAGCGGTTTTGCAGTTTTCAGAGAAACCGTGAAAAACGGTGCTGTCCATGATCACCAGGAAATACTGCACTGGCTGCGATTTCCCACAAAATCAACCTAACCCACCACCCCCAGCATATTATTCATGTAATACGCTGCTTTAGAATGTCCCAATGCTTACTGCAATACAAAGACAATGCGACCATCACCACAGCCATAGATCATGTGATTGAGTTACTGTCTACTAGTGACAGAGATTAAATGAAGGCACCAGTCAGCGAAGTGAAAATGTTTCCACGCCATCCTTTAAGAAGTAAAATGCAATGCCAATGTCTTTCAACCAGTCACCAGTGAGGTGCGGGGCTGTCAGGAAATGCCCACACAATTGGTTCTTTGTACCATGCCCAAGCTGCAAAAATTGCTTTGTCTCACCACGAGTTAAGTAGACCCCTATTCAAACATTTCCCTTGCAAAAAATTAGAGGCATTTTTCTTAAAATACTCCATGGAAAATTCTACTGTCCTCTGCAGAGTTCCTGTGGTAAATCTGAAAACCAGTTTCAAATCACTGAAGTGCTAAAGAGAGGGCTTTTGGTCCTACTATTGCAGCAAAACTTAATACAGCCTTAACTATGGAGCTGATACCTGCAGGCTCACATGCTACAGCCAACCAAGAGGTGCCATACTGCTAACGCTCTCTGATTGTGACCTATTGCACACAGAAGACTATAATAAAGGAGAGGGCTGCTAGGCTTTCCCCCCAGTGCTCTGTGAATTATGTCTAACTAGATGTGCCCTGGCACAGCTGATCTGTTTCACTGGGCAAAACATGTTCTCCATTGCTCCACCAGTTAATGCTACAGGATTATGGGTGACAAGTTCTCCCAGGGCTCGAGAAATCTCCATGGCCTCTCTTTGTAAGCAGGGAAACCCTGACTTTCCCTGCTTACAGAGATGCACCCTGGAGATTCTAGGGGCGCATCTCTGTACAGGAATTTCCAGGGTCCACAGAACTGGGTCCCTCAAGCCCCAAGACACCTGCCTGGGACAGCTGGTGAGTGCAGGCAGCTCCAGGCTGCCTGTGCTCTCACAACATAAAGTAAACAGACACCAGCTGCTAAACAGTGGCACAAACTGATGTCCCCTTTCTCAATGCTACAAATTATGGGCATCTGTGGCATGATAAGGGGTACAAACATCTGCTTGTTCAGCCTTTGTACCACCATAAACCTTTTCATGGTGGTACAAAGGCGACGCAAGGTAATTTCTGCTTTTCCCACTTGAAAGGGCAAGAAAAAATAAAGAGATTCAGTTCTTTCAAATTATTCAATTTGCAAGCACTGTGTGGCAGACAATGAGCCCCTTCATTTCCCACCCTGCCCTTTTTTCACACCTCTGCACCCACTAGCTACCCACAGGTTGTGAACCATTGCTCTTTACTTTCTTTTGTGGTTAGGTTGTTTGAGCTGGGATTTCCTTCCCCATGATAATAACTTTCCACTTCCTGCCATCTACCATCATTCCACCACTTAGAGTTGGAATGAAGTCCCCCAAGCTCTGATCTCAACTCAACAACCAAGAAAGAAAATATGAAGCATCACCTAATGCAGATTACTTTCTCCCTTGGATTCCCATGGGTGTTAATTATGCTACACTGGAAATTTCTTCCAAATGGAAAGGTGACGCATTGCTATTCCCTAAGTGCTAAGCATGGTTAATGTGCTCCTGCTGATACCGAATTGGAGTTTATCATTGAGTAACTATATCAAGCAGTTAATACAGTATTTGTAAAGCAAAAGTTATATGGTCCTTTAAGTATTTATACTTTGGAAACAGTACCATAGTCTTATATTTTCTATGCTGGAAATAACTTCCTAATTAATCTGAAAGGTTCACTGAGATGCCCATATCTTGAAAATGACACAGCTCCTGGGTCTCCAAAAGAGATACCAGTTTTTCCCTGGGTATTGCAAGCTAAGGTAGGGAATCCCAATAACTATTTTTATGAGTAGTGTGCCTGGAGACTAGTGATGTGAGATATTTTGATGCAAACTCCTGTCCTTCAATGACAAATGTTCCATAGTACATTTGCGTACTGGTTTTGTGATCACAACCAATTGTGTAGCCATACACAAAATAATATCTTTTGTCTCTGCTTCATGGGAAGGAAAAGGGATCAGAGATCCCTGTTTACTGAAGACGATAGCATAGTAAGTTCATATTATTCATTTTAGATTTCAAGTCTCTTAGTGGTAGGCAAACAGACATGGGTAGGAGCTTGCTTGACAAGGTTACAGGCTAAGATTTAAAAGGGAGTAATAAATCACAAAGCCTATTGTTCAACTGGAAATCTGAACGTGCCCAGAATTTTGTGCAATCCCTAAAATCCCTAAGACACAGACCATTCCTTCATTTACAAAACAGAAACTACTGTACTATTCTTAAATACAAAATATTTGAAAATAACTCTTATTCTTCTCATTGTTAAGTTAGCTTTGTCCTCTCCAGAATATGCAGTAATACTTGATTCTGAATGGTTCCAACTACATCTCTATTTGTCTTTCAGTTTAATAATCTGCCATTTGTATTCAGAGATCCAATATTGAATAATGCAAGTTAGCTAAGTAGAAATTAATGAGGGAGGCAAATGCTGTGGTTGCCGTGCCTCTGATGACATAGGTTTGCAGTATGCAATCCTGCCTAACAGAATAAGAATCTTCATGTCATAGCACAGTGTGACACTGCAGTGACAATGCATAATAATATTGGATTGGCATATCATATTGCAGGGTTGCATGGTACAGGGTTAGAATACCACATTGTGAAGTGACGATGTTTTATGGCCTCTAAAAATGATGTTGGGATCTGTTAACATCCTGTAAGGGACAGCTCCATCAAGACTCCAACAAGCTCAGAAAAAATAATAAGTGGCAGCTCTACAAATCTCCTTCAGATGGCCTGAACATCAAGCATACTCTGACTCAGGTTTTCCTCTCTTTAAACTTGGCTCATTAAAATTTTGCTTCTTTCCAGTTCAGAGAACAACAAAAAATAGAGTAGGAGTTTAAAGAGGCAGTCTTTTCTAAATTATAACAAAGGAATATGGGAGCTGGAAAAAAGCTCTATGCTTGAGTTTACATAGGCACCTGGAAAATGAAAGGTTAACCCATTCTGCTGTTGCTCCAAAGCAACAGCACTGTAGCATGTGCCACCAAATCAACAATTAAAATTCTAACAACTATTGAAGAAAGATATTCAACTGAATAATGAAGTTGCACAAAAGTAATCTAATTCTAATCATGCTTCATCTTAAAAAAATGCAGGTACCTGGTATTGCCATTGGGATTGGGACTTGTCAGCGCCCATTTCTGACGCTCAGGGCTGTATGTGAAGAGATTTGTTTTCTTGTTTTGAACATTCTGACTTTGTGCTGACCCAGACTCTGCATGTGATCATCTTGAGGGATTTTTCTGGGATTAAAGACTTGCCCAGAGCCACAGTAAGATGTCTGGCTCTTGGGATACACATTATTCTGGCACATTAGGCCCAAGACATTGTATTGCTTCTCTCTCTATAGAAGAGGATGCTGATTGTCCTTCCTATAAAACAATGATGCATATTCTTGAACAGCAGAAACTCATGACACTGTCAGAGAATGAAGTTTAGGACTCTGAATATGAAAGCCTTTGCGTTCAGTAGCTCCCACAAACAATAAGCCTTTGCACAGATTCAAACCACAGACCTGTTGGGGTACTACTGTCAATAGACTGGAAAAAGGAATTTTGAGGCTGTACTCTTATGGGTATGAATATTTAAACAATGAAGTCCACAGTTTCCCATTGGCTCAACATTCTGTTTTTGCAAGAGTAAAGGAAAGGAAGGAGGGAGAACAGCTGCCTGTTTTCTCCTATTCTTCCTCTTAAAGGTTAGAGTGTATTACTTTACAGAGAGAGACATAATCACAAAGAAATCCTGGTCTTTTTTATGCAGTGGTATTTCATCATTGGAGTTAAGCAATAATACCATGTTTTCCAGCATAAGTACTGTTAATATTTAATTGTTTCTGTCTTAGAACCATTGCATATGCTAGTATTTAATCCTCTATCCTAGCACGCTCAGAAAGGTTTAAGTACAAGGCATTATGTTTCCACAACATCCTTAAGCCTCTTACCTCACAATTCAATGGGCAGAACTCTGTCCTTCCCTCAGGAAGCTTTTAGGGGAAGAGGAGTGATAGCAACCATGGAGGAAATCCTGGCACCACTGAAGCCAATAAGTTTTTTCCATTGACTGCAGTAGGGTCAGGATTCAACCTGTGCATTCAGCATTGCAGGTATAATGCAGTGTCTGAATGCTGCTCTCCCAGTAGATGTGTTAGCCGGCTGGAGGGCTGGGCTAAAAATGGCACCAAGACATCAAAATCACATCCTGCATGGGACCCAGTATGCCAGCTAGCTTTGTAACCTGTCCACTTCCTGGTACCATCTGGAAAATTACCAAGAGATTAGGCTTTTCTTAATGTATGAATTAAAAAGGAAGGGGTCCCTAAGTGCACTGATGCAGAAGAAGAAAGGCCTTTTTAAAATAGTTTTTCTGGCTGAAGAACATATGCTGATTTTCTAGCTGGAGGGTAAAAATTTGACTGACACTAAGAAATCTGGGTTCTACTGGAATGGAAACAAGAAATCTACTCTCCCTTACGCCTAACATTTTTACAGAAAGCTTGCTCTTCCCTCTGCTTGGTCAGTGTGGTGTGCAGCTCTTTAAGAAGGTCTTTCCTGAAATACAGATCTGTCATTTTCCAGGGATGTTAATTGGAAACGACAGGTCAATAAGCGAGGACAAATCACTTAAGGGAGGTAGGTGCATTGTGCTGATATGATAAGGGGAGAGGCAAGATCCTCTGTATCAGTGGTTCTCAACCTTTTTTGCACCAGGACCCATTTGTAAACATCAATGGTCAGTCCAGACCCAGTGCCCCTCATTCCCATCCCGCTGCCCCCCCCCAATATGTGGGGTGGGGAGGGGAGGGGAGGGCATGGGGGCCCCAACCAGCCCCTTGTAGACTGGAACTCTGCCAGCCTGCAAGGGAAAAGCCACGGTTTCCCACATTTTTCTTCTTTAAAGGAGGATCCATTTTTAACATTTGTTGATCCATTTTTAAAGTTTGTGACCCTTTCATATATTCTTGTGACCCACTTTTGGGTCACGACCCACGGGTTGAGAAATGCTGCTCTATATCGCAAGCTCCATAAGTGGGGGTGCAATAGAGAGGGTTTTCCCACTCAATCAAATTTCTCTTCCTTTTCTTGAAATCAATCACTCTGGAAAGCCAAGAAAAACAATCTTTTGAAACAAGGGACTATAAGAAAAGGCAGGATAAAACAATAATCTAGAAAGAAAATGTATATAAACAACCACTGCTCTTTCTAGAACCAGCTGGAAAAGATATCTTTTTCTTGAAACTGGTCTCAGACCAACCTGGCTATATATGGGGTTAGTAATTCTCAGTCCAGTTACCACTCAACAGATGCCCACTTCACACTACCATCACAACTGCTACCTTACTTAGCAAACTGAGGAGAAAGACTAAGGATTAAATGCTCCTGAAGTTCGAACTACTTAGTGTCTCCAGGTCTGACCAGAGGGCACAGTTATTTATTTACGGGCACTCACTATGGCTGTGGTAACCATATATCCCAGTTTGGCCAGGACAGTTCTGGATTTCAGAGGCCAATGCAGCAGCCCAGCCAGTTGCTGAGAGTGGAAACAAAAATCCCAGACTGGTGCCACCCCACCCACACTGCCCAGCTTGGCTCCTCCTGAGCAGCGGCTGGAGGCAGGGGCGGACTGGGCTGGGCACTGCTCCTCCTGCCTGCGACAGGGATTGGCCAGGGGTGGGGTCATGGTCCCAGATTTCCATAAAAATAATGTGGTCACTCCACCTATGACACTCATCATTGTAACAGCCAAGTTTGAAGCCATGCAAGAAAGTATGCACTGTTGCTGTGTGAGCGATACCTGTGCAGTCTGCAAATATAATGAACAGAAGAGACTATAACCTCAGGGACTGTCAGTTCATCCTCATAACTGATCACTGGATTCACATGAAAAAGTGATATAAAAAAAGATATTGGCCTTTACTCAGTTGGATGACACTGTGTTTCTAAAATGAATCCCTATATTTATAATTCTTCAAAAAAACTGTTTTTTTTAAAGGATTATTTAGACAGCAAGCTGTATTGGGGAAGAAATCAACCTGCAAGGATCAGGGCTATTAGGCAAAAGGACATTTCAGAACAAATGTTAATCTGCAGTTCTAAACAATCACTACAGCTCATTCATATGTAAAAGACAATTTACAAAGGCTCATTCTGTAATAAAATCCTAATGCTGTTGATGCAAAGAGGAAAGCATTGGGGAGACCAATTGATGCAGGCTGTTCTAAAAATATCAGTTTATGCTGTCATCTGGTGAGAGTATGTCATCCTGTAATCTTGGCATCTGCAGGGACAGCAAGTTTCTGCCTAATTATTGCTGCTGAGTCACATGGCAAAACATAATGTACTAAAAAAATATAAAATGAAAACAGAAAAACACCCAAACCACTGAAGTCTTACAATGCTAGAATATGATTCTAGTTAGGCTGCTGTCCTCTATCAAGTTTGGGCTGGGAATGTTGATCTTCATGGATTTTTCTCTTAGCTAATATAAGACAAAACAAAAAAGCAACATGCAATCTAAGGTAAAACAGAAACCACCGCCAGAAGCCAGGAACAATTCACGGTGCTTATCTTTTGGGGTCAGATTCTAGTATCCTTACTCACACTGAGGAGTACCTTATGGTGTGAATAATCCTTCTGACTCAAGGAGTAAGAAACTCTTCACTGTGAATAGAAATGAGGAATCTGATTCTCAAATCCATGATTTGATTATTTGTGTACTGTCCGCACTTAATTAAAGCATTTTCCAGGCAGGGACCAGTACAGCTTATTAACTAGAATTGTACATATATAAAATGTAAAATTAATGATAAAGGTATTTTTATAAGGTGGAATTATTTTAATGTATTTCACTACAGCAAGTGCCTGGTCACAATACTATGAGGCTTGGTGAAACACCACACTCAAATACTCAGCAGCTAATACATGAAACTAGCAACACATGGTGTGCTACACTCTCTCCCGAATCCTCCTGTCAATTTTTGTGGTTTTACAAATGGATTTCCTAGGTTTTCATTTGTTTCTCTTCCCTCACTTATCAACACATGTGAATAACCCTGTAGGTAGTCAGAAAACTTCCTAAGGCTCAGATTCACAAGAACATGGGAAGTCAATGGGACCCACTCTGTGTGGGTGTACAGGCCTGTCAACACTGCTCCCCCAAATTTTCTTACAAGATCAAAGACTAACATGGCAACATGAAGCTGACTACAAGAAATATGCTGTCATATGCACAAAGTGAAAGAAGGGAGAGAAAAATGATACATTTATTGTTTTCAGGGTTGAAGTCTTGACTAGGAATGGAAGGTGCTCCTTGGAAAGTTTTTCAGATCTAAGTATGTGTGTGGTAAGCAGGTGTCCCTTTAACGAGCAGCAATATCTTAGATCTATAATTCACATAATTTGGGAAAAAATCCTGAAATATGAAGAAACCAAGGGAACAATTCACTGTAAAAGAAAAGAACACTCTGGGATGCCTCTAGCAGCTACACATATTTTTAAATAGCGACTGAATGCAAAAAAAAAAGGTTGGTCAATGTTGAAAATTGCAAACACCTCCTGTGAAGATCTGAATGCCAACATGAGTTGAAAGACATATATTTGTGGTATTTCAGAGATGAAGCAGTATCGTTTACTTAAAGTTAGCAGAGATGTTAGTCAAACTTTTGGGCACAAAATGTTCTTCCTTGGGTTTTATGCCAGAAGGCCTGACCAACATCTCTCCCAATTCCAAACTATTCTAATAAAAGATATTACACCTCAGCAACTACAACAACGTGAGTTCCAGTATTTGGAGCACGTGCTTAACACACTGACAGCCCTAACTACACAATTTATTATATGCAAATAATGAGTCAAATGTTTTACCCATCTTCTACTCAATCCTTAACTGTTGGCTTAAAGAGGAGCTTGCTGAAGCAGGCCCAAACAATAAACTCATGGCTTTAATCATGCAATATACTCTGCTCTTGCTGACTCCTATACCAGTACAAAGCTTCTCTTAAATCCCTTAGTTACCTGGTAGATTTAATATCCCTTATGATTTTAAAAGCAGTAACATCTTGACTCCATTATAAAAACCCAGATAATTACTACCTGCTACCCCTACACCTGAGAAATCAGAGAGACAAGATTACCTTGGGCTGACTCCTGTCCAGGCAGAACAGTACTTTCTATGACACTAGGTGTGTATACACATGCATTTATACTGGCTTAAATTTACTGTGCAGTAAATTACTGTGCAGTAAACAGGATTAAGCCACTGTCTACAAGGGCAGACGACCTGGGACTAAATTTAGTCCTAGGTCAGAGCAGCCTATCATGTGCCCCTGTGGCCACTGAGGGGAGCTCCAGCCTCCGGCCACACGGCTGCCAGC